CCTTTGTCAGTTTCATCATCAGGACAACGTCCCTCTGCCAATAGAAAATATTCAAGGTAAGTTGAGCATGCTACATGATAGAGCTGCTTACTTGTGTTTCTCAAGGGAGTTATTGCTTGTATTGGTGCTGCATTGTCTTCGCCAGAGTCACCTAAAAAACAAGAGAAATAGTTTTTCTTTCGACCACGAACGAATAAAGTCTTATAGAAGCATCAGCGACGGTAAGAACCTAAATAGCACTAGCTTTGCCCGTGCCGCCTCACTATTAGGCGCTTTCTTCTCCCTTGTCACTTTCAGGCAAAGTTCGACAGAAAGTTTCAGAAGAAGTTTCTTTGCCTGTGTGCGCAAATTTTGTTCAATGAAAACCGGGAAGCAAAAAGGAAAAAGAAATTTTTTTTATCTTACCGTCGCCATTATTGATCGTTACTAAAGCTCGTTTTCTCTTTTGTGTTGGAGATTTTGATCCTAGAAAAACAAAACCAAGCGTAAAACATAGTTTTTGCCCTAAGAAAAAAGACGAATTATATACCGTCATTTCTTCGTTTGATAAATTTTCATCATTCGAATCACCATATTCATTTTTCAGAATTTTCTGTTCATCTAAAAGAAAGAAAAACAAAGTCTTTAGAGTAGAATTTCAAGATAATCTGAGATCAATTACCTCCTTGCTGTTCATCTTCTTCGTCTTGTTTTATCATTTGTTCGTACATAGCATTGCATTGACTATAGCTTCCTAAATAAAACAGCAGGATTGGATAATTATTAAAGATGTAAAAAATACAACATACCTTTAGCTTCGATGATTGCTGTACGACGATTTCGACCCGTTCTAAGAACTGCTGTATCGTCTTTTATTGATTTAACGCTTGTACGTTTTGCAACAATTAATTCATCATTGTCTTCAAATCTTAATAGATAATTTTCCGGCAGTGGGTTTCTTATTTGTGTTGGTGTAAACCTTGTTGCCTGTGTTCGATTTCGTTGTATACGACTACGACTCATTTCAATTAATAATAAAAATCTCGAAGAAGAGATGATATTTCTAAATTTGAGTGTTCTTCTGTTATTTCTTCAGAAAGATATAATAAAGAAGTTTCCTAACACGGCTAGTTTTTCTCCGATTCCTGCATGTGCTCTTTGGATAAATAAACAAAAAAGTTTAAAAAACGTTTTAGTCCATGTTCATTGTAAGCGGAAACTTCGGTTATAATCAAAGACCGATTAGTATCAAAAACAATATAATGCTTAAAAATAAAATTAACATCCACACAATCAAAATTCGTACATGGTTCACGACGAAGAACGACAAAACAGCTATCTAAGGGTGCTTTTAACCAATCGAAGTAAACAGACGCTCTGAATAAATCACTGAATTTTTGTTTCAGCTTAAAATGTTGAATAACAACAAAGAATTTATTTTGCAAGAAAAAAATAAACAAATTTTTTCATAAAATTTTTGTGGATCATTTTCTTTTCTGTAACTTACAAAATAGCTCACGGCATTTCCCCGTTTATTATATAATAAAGAATGATAAACTCGATTTCTAACAATACAACGACGATAAACGAAAACACAATTTAAAATATATGAACAGTTACATAATTGTACATGTTGTTCAAATAACGCTGGACATTGATTAAGAACAAAGTTTTTATCCATATCAATCGGTTCATATACTTGTTGTTGTTGAGGCGCACGTTCTGATTCTCTGTTGTTCAATGTAAAGTCTAGATTATAATAATATGTAATCAATTCTCCATGGTACCTTGTGCCATGACGATCAGAACTGACGCTCCCTATTAGGTCTTCTTGAGCAAAACAGCCAATATTTGCCGAAGATCCATAGTTTCGGTATAACTTTTCGTAATGCACATATAGATGTAAAACAAAATTCTGTAAATTCAGGTGATACTGTTCATGATCTTCATAATACCGCTCAAATAGTTCAGCAGCTATTTGTGATGTTTGTTGATCAAATAACGGCGGCTGAGAATGGTAGAGTCGAATTGAACAGACGAATAAAACTAAATGTGCCATAAAATCAATATCCATTATATGATGTAATAAAGGTACCAGACCGTAAAATAAGATATTTCGAAATTCAGTTGCTTTTACATACGATAAATCAACCAATAGCCTCATTTTCCGATTAAAAAAATGTGGAAAGGATTGATTTTTTAAGTTTTTATCTAGTGTAAGACGTTGTTGAGGATTTAGTCGACGATAAACAGAAGTAGTGATAGTTTTTGTATGCCTCAGTAATGTCACATGCTGGTAGTCAGTAACAATCGCTTCGGGAAAAGTAGTGTCCATTATCTCGTCAAGAATTGATGTGCCTAGATAAAAAGAAGAGATACTTCTGTTAAAGAGAGTAAAAGAAAGTTACTTTTCGGAAAAACGATCTAGATGGAAACTGGATAATGTTCTTTGCGAGATTTTTGTGCATAAAGTCTTTTTCCATCATTCGAAAATAGCAAGCAAGCGGAACAAATTAATAGTTAAAACATCCTATTTCTTATTTCATGTTCCTGGTTAAAGGATATTAAGCCCTTTTCTGATCGGAGAAAACACGGCGATAAGAGTAGTTTTTAGAATACGTTCAATTTATACGAATTTCTAATCAAAATCGGAAGGCCGAAGCTCGTATCGCTAACCTCAACTCACTAACCTAAGTGGCCAAACACATTATTTTTTGTTCTTTCAGCTTCTAAACATCCTTCTTTATATGCAGATGCACCACGAAGAATAATCGGGTTTGCATGTAAATATTGTCGTTTGTTATTAACATGTACACCACGTAAATAACAGTACCAACAACAGAAATAACCGCCATGTCCGATAAAATTCAATATTAATTTCAAAGCCGGGTAATCACCTGTTATTGAGAGAAATTTTATATCAACACGTTGATTATTAAATGTCTGAATGCCTGAAATATGAATAAATTTTCAGCACATACAGAGTTAACTAAAACAGGCACAAATTTCCGATTTTCTCAATTTTGCATGTGTTCTGGATTTTCCAGAACTCCTAATAATCTTAAACTTTTACTTTTTTAAACCTTTTTCGTCACGTCGGTCAGGGCGATCAAATCTATTTTACTTCTCTATTTTCAACTCTGGATGCCTTTGAAGAAATAGAAAAGGAAAAAAATGGACTACTCGTAAAAATTAAAAAATATTTCGAGTTTTATAAACATTTACCGTCTTTTTTTATAACTCTCATCATACCAATACAATTTCTTAACCACACTTCTGGATGTGGCTCTGCATATCGAATCCATATAGAAAACAAGGGCATATTATATCGACGATATCTCAGTTTTGGTTGTAATTCAATGATAGAGCCGCTAAACAACCACATCTTTAATTTGGCTGATTTGCATAAGCCGCCCATGTGGAAATTTTGATACCCTCCACGATGTGAACACGGGTTGAAACATTTTCCCACGTGTGTACACGGCAAAATAGTCTTGTTTTTCAGAATTCTACGTGCGAAGACGTGT